GCCTGATAGTGTTGCTTGAAGTAGAATCCATAGCTTCAATAGCTTTGATTTGTACTTTTCTTCAAATATGTTGTTTAGATACTCGGTTTCTGTTTAGCTTTAGCTCATTTCCTATATGTACTTGAATTTGTAGTTAAGATCCTTCCTTAGTGATTCTTCAATTGTACAAGCTGTAAGTTCTAAGTGCTTCTCGCGAAATTGGCTTTTCACAAGCCCCCTGGCTTAAATTATACCAATGTGCATGTGAGTTAAAAGCTACCATTGCTCAGTTCGAGCACTTTTGGTCGATTGCTTGGTAGCTACAATTGAAAAGGAGTTCTTGTATCGTAGTTTTTCTTTCAGCTTCGAGTATAAATCTGGTCCAAGATTTAGGTTTGTGTCTATTATAACTTGAGGAATTGGGACAAAGAAGCTCTGGACAGCATATGAGTTTTGTTTCCGTGCTGTAACCTTCCGTTAGGCCCGTGTCGGTCAAATGCATGTTATTTTCGCTTGTGGAGTCCATTTTCTTACAGAGGTAGTCTAGATTTTGATGATCCATTTTGATTTGTGTCAATTATCATTATGTATCATTTGAAGCTTAATTCAAGTGCTGAGCTTAGCATCCTCTTGTAATTCACAGGGAGTTTCTTAAAATGAAGTGGTAGCAATCATAACTGTAAAAGAGAAGAGAAATGAAGAGGTGGTATGGAGGAACATTGATTCTGGCACTTGCCACAATCTTGGCTTTGCGTTATGGCCTTATGAATATCCAGCCTAAAAAGCAATCGGCATATGATTTTTTCAGAAATCATCCGACCAAAGATTCTCATAGTAAGAACAGTGACTCTTTGGTAGCTGAAATAGTAAAAACATCAGAGCGGCCTCATCTTATTCATATTGAAGGACTTCGTTATCTAATTGCTCCGGATAATATTACTAAGCGAGCGTCAGAGGCCTTACTTCTGTGGTCTCCTATGCACCCCCTTCTGATGAGGTCTGATGCTTTACCTGAAACAATACAAGGGGTTAAAGAGGCTTCCATAGCATGGAATGATTTATTGTCAGCTATTAAGGCAGAAAAGACCATTAAAGTTGGCAATACCAACAACTCAAAGGCTGAAATATGCCCTTCCTCTGTTACCTCACCTGACAAAATTGCACCAACTGGGGGAATCGTTCTTGAGATCCCTTGTGGTTTAATTGAGGATTCTTCTATAACCCTGGTTGGCATACCTAATGGACAGCAAGGGGGCTTCCAGATTGAACTGTTAGGCTCTCAGGCTTCCGGAGAGCCAAATCGCGCTATTATCTTGCATTACAATGTCAGTTTGCCTGGTGATAATATGTCTGAGGAATCATTTATAGTTCAAAATACATGGACTGATGAACTTAAGTGGGGCAAAGAGGAGAGATGTCCTACTCATCTGTCAGCAAGCTCTCATCAAGGTATATTTATATGACATGTTTGTCAGTTGCCCATTTGCCATGCAATTTCCAGCCAAGATTAACACATCTTATGTGTAGGTGAAGAAGCCAAATTAATGTAATATTCTACACGAACTGAATATACCTGAGTCTATATTGCCTATCAGTTCTTGTCTTTCTACATACGATACATTAGATAATGATGAGAACCTACTGTGTTATTCTAGGATGCAGGCATTGAGAAAATTAAAAAAATGCTTTCGAGTTTTGACTTATGCATGTATATGGAGTTGGTGTAATACTTCATGGCTTGTTGATAGATTGATCTTAAATGCAGTCTGCTGTATCTTTTGTTGCTTACAGATGAAATTCAGTAATATATCCTCTGGTTGCTAATATATTTTGGAAATAAATGTGGCAGTTGATGGACTTGTTCTTTGTAATGAGCGTGTTCTCCGAAGCACAGGAGCAGAAAATATCAGTATGCATCATAATAATAGTGATACCGTAACTAATGTTTCCAGAGGGCAATCTCATGAAAGTACCAACTTTCCATTCATAGAGGGGAATTTGTTCACTGCAACATTGTGGATTGGTTTGGAAGGATTCCATATGAATGTCAATGGACGACATGAAACCTCATTTGAATATAGGGAGGTAAGGTATGAATTAGGCAATCATTTTGTTAATATGATGAACTAATGAAACCAATAAGTATGTTTCAATTTTGAGCTGACGAATGGAATGCTACGTGAAAATTCTGCAGAAACTTGAACCGTGGACAGTCAATCAAGTCAAGGTAACAGGTGGTCTGGATCTTCTCTCTTCCTTTGCTAAAGGCTTACCAGTCTTTGAAGATCGTGATTTTGTTAACTCGTCCCACCTTGGAGCTCCTCCTATTCCGAAGAAAAGACTTCTGATGCTGGTCGGGGTTTTTTCTACTGGAAATAATTTTAAGCGTCGTATGGCATTGAGAAGGACTTGGATGCAATACGAGATTGTACGTAGTGGTGATGTAGCGGTCCGATTTTTCATAGGCTTTGTAAGTGATGCAGTCTGCAATTCTCATAGTGGTTTATTTTGACCCTATAATCTCTGAATCTCCCATGAACTTGTGGCTTCTATTCTTCTCATTTTCTAGCCTATAATCTGAAGTCTTCGACTTTGCTTTTTATTTTATTTGATGACTGAGATCTGTTCTCTTTGGGAATTGTCTTCAATGCCGATTTCTCCCATGGATAAGCCGCTCGGCATTGGAGACTGTTCTTACTGGCTCTGTTGTACAGTTTTTTGACATGTTTCAACTTACCAATAGTAAAGCTAAAAGGATCTGAACAAATAAATGTTGCTAGTCTAGATTTATAAGTGATTGTTATAATTATTTTTTGGTATGCTCTTGATCTGACATTGATGCACACATTTTATACAATTTTCGGTGTTTATTATCGCTTGATATTGGATAATTTACTGCTGCAGGACAAGAATGCACAAGTAAATTGGGAGCTGTGGAGAGAAGTGGAAGCGTATGGTGATATTCAGTTGATGCCTTTTGTTGATTATTACAGTCTGATCACTTTGAAAACAATTGCAATTTGCATTTTTGGGGTAAGTGTATACTTAAAACAACCGAGCCTTTCACCTGTTTTGTTATTTGAAACTATTCGCATGGGCCTTTTGCCTTCCCTGCACAAGTTATCTGAAATCTATCACTTCTCATTTTAACAACTTCAGACCAAGATCCTTCCTGCAAAATATATCATGAAGACAGATGATGATGCGTTTGTTAGAATTGATGAAGTTCTTTCTGGACTAAAGAGCAGGCCAGCTTCTGGCCTTCTGTATGGTCTTATTTCCTTTGATTCATCACCCGATAGAGATAAAGACAGCAAGTGGCATATTAGTATGGAGGTATCTGACTCAAAACTTGATCTTATATGTTGGTCTCGTTTGTTTTATTATGATAGCAACTCTTGCTTTGTGTGGAGCATTGTTTTTGTAATTTATTAAACTAAATTCAAAAAGTCAGACCAACTAATCTGTTCAAGTTTTGGATAGAAAATGAAATTGGCTGGGGATTGAAAATAGGACCAGCTGCTATTACTAAACCTAAATGTGTAAACAAATACGTTAAGTTGAGTGTTGTTTTGTATGGAATAGTGATTTCATATAATGTGAGATCCCATGTTAGTTGGAGAGGGAAACGAAACATTCGTTATAAGGGTGTGGAACCTCTCTCTAACGGACGCGTTTTAAAAACCTTGAGGGGAAGCATGAAAGAGAATGCACAAAGAGAACACTATTTGCTAGTGGTAGGCTTGGGCTGTTATAGTTGGTATCAGAGCTAGACACCAGACGGTGTGCCAGCGAGGACGTTGGCCCTCAAGGGGGGTGGATTGTGAGATCCAACATCGGTTGGAGAGGGAAACAAAACATTTTTTGTAAGGGTGTGGAAACCTCTCCCTAACCAATGAGTTTTAAAAACCTTGAGGGGTTCGGACAATATCTGATAACAGGTGGACTTGGGCTGTTACACTCGTCAAAATATCTTTAATTTTATACATGTTCTTTTACATATAGGAATGGCCAAATGCGACATACCCTCCATGGGCGCATGGTCCAGGCTACGTCATATCACGAGACATCGCTAAATTCATTGTACGAGGCCACCAGAATAGAGCCCTCAAGGTACAATACAAGCAACCACCTTGCTTCTTCCTATGCATTGCAAATTCAAAATGGCTCTTCTTATGTCTGAACTACTTTTGTCTATGTTCAGCTTTTTAAGCTGGAAGATGTTGCAATGGGCATATGGATTGAGCAATTCAGCAAGGGCGGCAAGGAGGTACAGTACATAAATGAAGAAAGGTTTTACAACTCCGGCTGTGAAGCCAATTACATTCTTGCTCATTACCAAAGCCCAAGATTGGTACTATGCCTTTGGGAAACGCTGCAAAAACAATTTGAATCCACTTGCTGTGATTAGTATTTATTTGACAATCATGAGTTTGTTTTATGGAATACTTTTAATTTATGTGTTTATCGGAGAGAATACTTTTTTTCTAGTTCAACAATGGTGGCAACGAGGGATATCCGATAAAATTGGAATGATACAGAGAAGATTAGCGTGACCCCTACGCAAGGATGACACACACAAACTGAAAAATGATATTAGAGCCAGACATAAGGCGGTGTGCCCGCGAGGATGCTAGTCCTTCAAGGAGTGTGGATTGTGAGATTCCACGGTTGAAGAGGGGAACGAAGCATTCCTTAGGTGTGGAAGTGAAAACCTCTCCTTAATAGACACATTTTAAAACCTCGAGGGGAAGTTCTGAAGGGTTGGCAAGAATGTATACACCTATATTTCGTAAAATAATGCATTACAGAATCGAATACAACATATTATTATCGTACGTGATACTTTCGCCTCATACGGCTCCGTCCTCGGTTAAACAAAAAAACTCCACCAACCCACATCAAAAACCCTAACCTCAATTAATAGTCTCGGTCGGTTCGGTTCATCTTCAAAAATGAGGTTGGGTCGATTTCTGTGGTTTTTTAGAACCGGATCGGCTGAACCAAACCAATTACACTCAATTTTTTCTACACAAAAGTGCTTCTTCAAAACAAATTTGGGAGCTCGTTTGTTCGTCGTTTCATACAGAAATTCTGAGGGCAGATTTTCTTCATCCTCCGGACCTCTCTTCCCATTTCCCTTTCTCCTCTGCAAAACGCGCCACAAAGCCACCAGGAGGAACCATAGGAGAAAGGTAATCATCTAGCCGCGATTCTTTTCAATTTTGATCTCGCTTTTCCTTATTTTTGCGTTTCAATTCGTTGATGGTGGTTTTGTATATATGCATTTACGATTGGTCTGCAGAAGGTTAGATAGACTAATCGAAAATTAGGGTTTCTGATTTACGATGTTAGCTCGCCTCTATTCCGCTGCTTCCTGACCCAGAAAGGAGGGCTTTCCCACTAGAGGGAAAATAATGAGCGGAAGCCGAAGGAATAGAGAGCGGAGATTGATGAGAAATTAAAATTAGCCTGTTATGACATTATGAAATGGGGAGATTTGATGTGTCAGGTCCTTGTTCTTGTTTTTTGTTTAATATTAGATATGATGTTTGAGTTGATCAAGCTTGGACTGTGTACAAGTTGTACCCACTTTTTACAAGTTTCGGCCATAAAAACTCCTTTTCTTTTTTACTCGATCTATAATTTGATTTATGTTTTCGTTTTTCCGTTTGATTCAGGTTTTTCTAAGTCTTTGGTGGTTTCTCTATGCAGCTGAATTAATTATTTTGATAAATAATCAGTGAGTGTGAAAAGTGTGGAAATGCCATCCCTACAGACTGCTCTACCTCCTGAACTTGCGAATAATGTCATTAGGGTTGGTTCCCTCCTATCCTTTTTGCAGTACAATTTCCTCCACAAACTTTGTTAATCTTGCATGTTTTGTCACTGTAGCTTTACCGTGAGTGCCTTCGAAGAGCCAAGTTTATCGGTCATCGGGTATGGATGTTCTTTTCATTTGGTTTCTTTATTCGAACTAATAGTTCCGACCAGGTGTGATGGGTCTAATGATCTTTCATTTGAATAACTTAGAATGGTTTGAGATTCAACAATAAGTTAGAAGTTAAAGTTCAATCTAGCCTTCAGCACGCTTGGATGCCTTGTTGTTCTTTTACATTTGCTTTAGGCTAATTGCAATTATCTAATCAATGGGTTCTTTTCCTTATTTCTGTACTTGCCATTTCGTTCTTATACTGCATCAAGCCTATGGTTGAATTCATGCAGGACATAACCTTGCCGCACAGGCGCACAGCTATTCATGTATTCATATTAATTAGCCAAAATCTCATTATAGGAATTGAACAATTGATCGCAACATAGGCCTTCTGCCACGTGCCTCCCAGGATTACGTTCTTGCTTCATAGGAAAATGACCCAACTGTAAATTTTCGATAAGAAGTGTTAGGAAGAAGATGATACATTTATGTGCAAGTGAAGTATGTCATAGGCTAGGTTGATGTGCTTGATGTAACATAAATCAAAGTAGGATAAATTAGGAAAGGTCTTGGAGAGAAAACACCAAGATGAGTCTGATATTCATTGTTAACCGTATTGTTTCCTTTTGTTGAATTAAGTTATAGCTCTTTTCTGTTTCAATCTAAAAAGTTGTGCTGCATTTCAAATGAGTTGAGTCCAACTATTGGAAGGTATAGAGGATTTAACATTGGTTCCTTGAAACTTATTGACTTGGATCCTATCAACTTTTTGCAGCAACATAACACCGATCTTGTTGTTAGTATGGTGAAGCAACAATTCAGAAAAAACATGCATGAGACTGATCCAGAGAAGATTCAGAAGTTGAAAGATGAGTAAGTCTTTTGATTGCTTTCTTTTTCCTTTCTAGATGTTAAAAAGAAGTACAAAAAAAATCAAGTAACAAAGGATGCCTATTACGACCCTAGATTTCTACTAACTTTATCATAGCTTTCTTGTATTGTTTTAACTTTATCATAGTCTACAAAATTAAATACAACTACTATGTGCCATGGTCTTTAAATTTGCGACGCCGCCGTCAACCGTGCCGGGGTGTCTTGCCCTTTATCTAAAATATAATATTCGGTGTATATTGTTTGTTTGCAGTGCGGCAAGGGGACTCATAAACCATATTCTATACGAATCCGAGAGACTGACAGGTCGAAAACTCAGCCAAAGTTCTTGATGTTATGGAGAACGACATCGAGTAAAAGGTCCCCTCCCTTTGAAACTCTAGATATTGCAGGAAAATAAGGTGGCTGATCATTAAAGTACTCCTTGGATGTTATTTTTGCTTTTAACTTCCCCATTTCTACGATTTGTTCAAGGAAATCGTCCACTTTACAGTAAAAGTTGAACGTTTCCCCATCAACAATCTGCATTTCAGTTCTACATTTGTGTTTGATTTTTTAAGTTAAAAGAGGTCATTGATATTTAATGTTTGTTTTGTGGCTGACGTATACTGTTGTAATCCAATCTTTAAGTTAATTATTTGTTAGTTCACAAATATCTCTTACAAACTTATGATTTTTCTTTAATGTTTCATAGAACCCATTGCAAAAATTTCCCCCTTTGCGTGGAAACAAACAAACGTTTTTCAAAATTATGTTACCCAAAAAAACTATCAATTAAGTTATGCAAAGTGCAAGCACAGCATCATCCTCATCCATTCTAAACATTTCCCAAACACCCATTCTTTTTAAACCTTCATCGATCAGATTTTGCTCTGATAAGAGCAGCTTCCCGGCAAGAAAAATATCAAAACAGACTGAATTACTCGACCAGAACCCGAAGCTGGTCATCGTCCAGAAGCCAGAGGATTAGAAAGATTCATATTACTTGAGCTGCGGCGTTTACAATTTGATCGTTCGTATCTGCACCATTTTCTGGGTTCCCCGGTTTGATGTTGTTACTGTCTGCTGGAGGAAGCTGCCTCCCATCTTCTCTTATTTCGATAGCATTCTTTCGAGTGCCCGGAGAAGTAGCAGTTACTGATTCTGGAGGTATGTCGTCTTTTCTATCGAAGTTCTTCTCATGTGATCGCTCGTGATTATCATGGCTACGGCTACGGCTTCGGCTATAGCGACGTGACCAACTCCTGCTCCTGCTACGACTTCTACTCCGACTCCAACTTCTACTACTACGACTACCGCTGCGGCTGCGGCTGCGGCTGCGACTTCGGCTGTAGCCCCATGTTCGAACTCTTTCAGGGCTACGACTATAACTTCTGCCTCTACTCCTATTGGAGAAGTCTCTTCTGTTGTCAAATCGACCCTGTCCACGTCCACGCCCACGTCCATCCACACTACTGTACCTATCCTGTGGGCCACCACGATCACCCCTGGCCCAACCAACATGACCTCCAGGAGGGCCACCAAAGGCCCGTCCTCCTCTACCTCGTCCAGAGAAGAAATCACCTCTCCCACCTCGTCCACCAGCAAGACCATCTCTCATTCCACCACGGCCACCAAACCCGCCATCTCTCATTCCACCGCGGCCACCAAACCCGCCATCTCTCATTCCACCGCGGCCACCAAACCCGCCATCCCTTGCACCACCACGACCACCAAACCCACCATCTCTCATGCCACCTCGGCCTCCAGAATCCCAGCGGCTGCCACCCATAGCTGCATCGAAACGACCCAAAGCGCCCCTATCCTTACCAAAACTCGGCCCCCCACGCATAGCCATATCTCGCAACTCAGGAGGCACAAGCTGATCCGCACCCTCCAGTACTTTAATCAAATCAGCAGCATATTTCCAATCCTGTTCACAAAAGAAGGTATAGGCCATTCCCGTTGCTCCAGCCCTCCCAGTTCTTCCAATTCGGTGGACATAGTCCTCAATTCCAGTTGGAAAATCAAAGTTGATCACCACTCTGGCATAGAAAATAAATTAAATAAACCATAGGACAGGTCTAAAAATTATAGAACAAGTAGAATACAAAAAATTTGCTTCACAAATACCACTATAAGTCGCATACAAAAACCTAAAAGTCACATGAGGTCCATTTTCTTTTTAGTTTCTAGTCCCAATATTTTCACTTGATATCATAGAGAAGAGCACAAACCAGTGCCTACCTTATATCTTTGATGTCAAGCCCGCGGGCAGCAACATCTGTGGCAACTAGTATCGGGGACTTTCCGCTGCGAAACTGGTTCAATACCCAATCACGCTCTCCTTGCGATTTGTCTCCATGAATTGCAGCAGCCCCAAACCCACGCCCAAGATTCCGTGCAAGCTGATCACACAATCTCTTTGTGGAACAAAAAATTATAACCTTAGACCCCCGTTCCTGAGACCTGAGGATCTGCTCCAACCGTCTCTGTTTTTCCATCTGTGGAACGAATTCAACATACTATTCCCATCACCCCATCCCAAAAGAACAAAAAAGAAACAGAGAGAGCATTAAAAAAGGGGTTAATAACAAATCATCCAGAGGAAAAGAAAATGGCTAACAGGCAATTTACATAATACAGGATGCCTACCTCAGTAGATAAAGAAAACTATTGTTACATATTTACATTACGAACAACGTTGAGGAAATTTGAACCAAGAACAATCTAATGAAAATGTGATTACTGATGCATTTAGAATATTTTCTTGAACAATAATTTTATCTTTAAGAATCCCAATATTTATATAAGAAAGGATACATAATTCTCTAAAATGGGGAAGAGAAATACGAAGACAAAGCAAGACTCAAACTATCTCCACTAATGGGCGTTGTGATTACTGGTCAGTAAGAGGCTTGAAGAAGTGTTCCGAGATTTCGTGGGGGAAGCTGCTAAAACAGAAGAGTAGTAGTCCATTGGTAAATTATGCTATTATTACTAAATGGTTTTGGAGACTCGAGAAAGAAGATGAAACCCTTTGGAGGCTTCAGTGTAACTCTTTTAATCAAATTGGCTTTGTAATTAAAGAGAGGAAGCAAGAGGATGTTCTCGATCCTGGAGACAGTTCAGAGCTACTTTTAACCAAATCAGGTCTCAATTATCTCATCCCAAACATACTAATTCACCAACAAAGCTCTATGAAAAAGAATAAAAGTGAAAAATTACAAAAGGGAATTCTGAAGCATCAGAGAAGGTCAACTTCTTAGTATAAACTTTGTGCTAGGTGGGAATTCATTCAAATGAAAGGATACAGAAAGTCATCCTGGTCTCCAAATTTCTCCTAGCTAGCGTATATTGCAAAAAATAAAAATAAAAATAAAAATAAAAACAAAATGGAATGATGGATCGTATCTTCTCTTACTGTGAATTTTCCCTCGAATGGTAGTATTATTTGATCAAAACTTTTGATATTCTAAAGATATCATTTTTAACCACACGAGAGATATAATGCCAAAATGAAAATACACTGTTCAAAGGACTGGTTAGCTTATATTTTATTAAAATTACCTGTGTGATAGCCTTGTTAGCGGCAAGTTCATCAACGCTTCCAATATTCACCTGGACAGAATTGACAAGAAGATCATTTGCTATTTTTCTTACTTCCTTGGGCCAGGTCGCTGTATACATAAGAGTTTGTCTGCGTGGTGGTATTTCATTCACAATCTTTCTAATTTGGGGTTCAAATCCCATGTCAAGCATCCGATCAGCTTCATCAAGCACAAGAAGTGAAACTTGCCTAAAGTTGATCATTTTCATTTCTAGTATATCATTAAGTCGGCCAGGAGTTGCCACAACAATATCAGCCCCGCGATCTAACTCTTTAAGCTGAGGACCTTTCGGAGCACCACCATACAAGCACTGAAATAAGGAAGAATTTTAACACAAAATGGAGAAAGTACACAAAAAAGGGAAGCAGAAGTAGATGATTCAAGGACCCAAAAAAGTAAACATTTGAAACTCACCGTACAACAAATCCTGGAAGCCCTCCCAAATTTAATCGCCTCATCTTGTATTTGAGTAGCAAGCTCCCTAGTAGGAGCCAAAACCAACACCGTTGGTCCATTTTGAGGGTTATTTCGGCACTGCCTTAGAAGAACGAAAGCAGGAATCAAATAGCCCAAAGTTTTCCCAGACCCTGTTTTAGCAATTGCGACTATGTCTCTACCTTGCAGGGCAATCGGCCATGTTTGTGCTTGAATTGGCGTGGGAGATGAGAAACCAGCAGAATATATCTGAGGCACAAAGATGGAAATATTGACTCAGCGCCAAAGTTAGAACATGCCAGACACATTCATGTTGAAATACATTACAAAAATACAGTGTTCTACAGGAGCAAAAATGAAATAGCACAAAAAAACCCATAGATTAGTTGCTTACAGAAGCAACTCGAGGCAACAAAAGATGGCAATAAAGACATATTAAGCAGAGCCAATAAGCAAGACATCTCAGTCACATCAGGTGTGATTTGGTCAAAGGGCCAACACTCTACTAAAAGATTCCCTAGAAAGGCTCCAACCATCCATTTTGCAGCCTCCAAAAAACAAGGGGTTGTTGCATGTGCAAGTGTAGCAATAGCAGTGCAGCGTACGACATATGCTCCTCCTCCGGAGCAGATATCGCACCTGCGACAAGTGAGAACTCATGAGTAAAAACTAAATTAATAACAGAAGAAAGGAGTAAACAGGATCATGGATTTGTTTTTTCACGCAAACCAAATAAAAGAAGTTTGGGCAAGCATAAACTTGCCTCTCTCAGTATCTCCGGAGGGAAGCCAGTAGCCTCAAATGTCATGAATGGAGCTGGAACATTATCACCCTGCACAGTTAATTGAACTGGTTATTTACGCCCAAAAAGAATAGTAGTTCAACTACTATAAATTGAAAATACAGAGCACGTCTAATGAAATAAAAGCAGTCACACAAATTCTATTTCCATTTGGTGATGTTTCAACTTCCATTAAACTGCATACGCTCAACAATTTCACACTAATTTTCCCACAGAATATTGCCTACACGATTGGTATCCAGGGATACAATTATAACGCCCTATAGCATTCACAACACACATAATTGGAGAATATAGGCATGCTGAAATACAAACCGTGGCAGTTACTTCATGCTGTTGACGATAAACTTCAACAGGTGACATATTAGTAACATCTGAAGCTCCAATATGGGGAGGACCCATCAAAGCATTGTTTGACAATGATGGACCACCAGACCCATGGTTGTACATATTATGTGATTGCCCGGCTGCAAAACTTGTTCCACTGGGATGACTGGGTGCCGCACTTGGAAATGGGACACCACTCATCCTTGCATCCTGAAAGAAGGATAGTACGCATACGTATATGAAAAACTATATCATAGAGAACCGAAATACTTAGTAAATTGATACAACATTTCTCTTAACCTGCCCTCATGTATTCTTTCATGTTTCTCAATGAAAGTGTTGTTTCTTGCATAATATTTAAAGAAAAAAAATTATCTTAACCTAAA